CTATGGAGTAGAAGCTAGTGACTACTGGGAATACTTTTGGTCATTCCAAATGTAATATATTTAGTTAAAGAAATGAACCTTCTTTGTCTGCTACTCACTCCATTTGTATAATTTGTCTTTATTTGGAGAACTGAGAATGAATTATAGCTGTCAGCTAAACAGCAGGAGTTGTGTCTTACATATGTTCAGACAGGATCTGATATTTCATTTGCTTATTTCAAGTACACTTTTATTTCTTTTTTTCTATTGTACAATGACAATGTTGTAAATAACACTTTTTGTATGGATTCATAGAAAATGAGTACTTTTGAAAAATTACATCAGAAAAAGCTATGAACTTCACTAGAATTCAAGCCCATAACAATGTTATTTGAATTATTGTAGGGTAAAGATAAAAAAGTCAGCATTTGAGCTGTCAGAGATAAGGAGATCACCATAAGTTTGGGCTGTGGTAAGTAAGTAAATTTAATCAGAAATGGTAAAATTGTATTGTAAAGAAGAATTCTCTTTCACGTATAAAATGTCAAGAGGTTGAAATTTATTGATATTTCCTGACAGCATAAAACAAATTTATCACTAAGCAAATAATCCCTTCAAAGACAAGAAGGTATGAGGGTACTTGCTTGACGTTAGGAAGAGCCAAACTTAATTCTTGCTTTAAAAAGCTTAGTGTAGACATTAAAATTTTGCTCACTTTTGACATGATTAGCTGAACCACTATGCCCCGTGGTCTATTCTATGTAGTGGCCTTTTATAATTAACAATTTCACCCTGAAGCCTAGAAAGTTTTATCATAACTAGCATTTTCTGTGAAAACTTTTTACTTCCATGAAGAAGCATATCTTGGGAAAAAAAGAAAAAGTAGAAAAATCTTAACAAGCTAAAGTGGAAAAAGGTTAGAAGAAAGGTGAAAGAAATCTCTGGCAACAGTTATTAGTAAGCAAGAAGAAATGACTAGATGAGCAAATCATCAAAAACTTTTCCTGAGTGATACTTCTGTGCATTCTGGTACAATTTGACTTCTAGTGCAATACAGCTGTATTAGTCCCACTGGCTAACAAACTACAGAACATCACAGACTGTGACCAAGCTGAGACACCTCAATTATCACAGTTCTACATGACTAGGCTAAAGATATTAACCACCTCCACCAGAGGGACAGATGACTTTCCTATGGTATTCTAATCAAATGGTTCTGATGAGAGTGCTTCCTCTGTGTGCTTCTCCTGTGTAAGGACTGTATTTATGATTCCACAGATAATGGATTCTTTGTGGAGCTTAGATGTTGTTTTATGGAAGTGAAGAGCTGGTTGTTGCTGAGCATGGAGAACATAAAAACCTGCTGAGAAAATTTAATAAGTACCATAAGAAAAAATCTTATAACTGAGTTGGGTGGTACTATTTCTGCTGGACATTAAAAAATATTTTTTCTGATCTCTGAGCTTTCCTGTGTTTGCATATAAAAGGAACAAACAACAGAAGGAGGAGGAAGCCAAAACTGACTATGAAAGTTAATTTTCATTACAGTATTCCTCTATTTGAAACCCTATTATGTTAAGGCAGTGGTAGAACTCACGACAGTGAGTCTCACTTGAAAATGTACCTATATATGTACACACATACTGGCTTGGTACATGTATTTTGGATTTTCAAAATTCTGTGCATTATTCCTTGTTCCTTTTCCTGTTCTGGAATTTAGTTGAGTCTTTTTCCTTGTTTTGTATGCATACAAAGAAATGAAAATAATATTCATGAACATGACATGCCTGCATATACATATGCATATTTATACCTTAGGGAGACAATGATTTTCCCTCAGTTCTTTGATGAAGACTAGGCTAGATAGTGTCTGTTAAGTGTTATACAAATGCCAGTATTTTAACCAGGTTTCTGATTACTGAATTAGGTTCCTTGGTCTTTAATTCAACTGATCCTTTTACTCAGGAAAGCTCCTTACTCGTTATAGCTATGAACGTTAACTAGATCAACTGAAACAGGACTAATTTACAGGATTTCTAGCCTATTATAAAGCATCTCTAAATCAGATAAATGTAGAAAACCTAATTCAAAGCTATGATAAAAATGCTCATATATAAACATCATTAAAATTTAGTCAAATTACCAAAAATATGTACAACTCATAATAATTTTTAACTCATCAGAAAAATTCATAAGAATCTTTTTGTGAATAAATACATGAATTCAAATTGAAAGATTAATTTGTAGATAAATAGGAAGAAAAGGAAGAGTAATCAATCTGAGGTTGTTTTAGATGTAATGAAGAGTATTAATGAAATAACACGTTATTAAACCTATTATTTAAGTGTTATGTAATGTTAATTAGCACTTTTGATAAAAAAATGAGTAGCATCATCAGCATCATGAATGATAACAGCATTGAAAAGACATTGAAAGCTAATGGTATATGGAAATGGTATCTTGCAATATTTGCAAATAACATTCATTCCAGTTTGCTAAATTCTCAGTGTGCCAAAGACCTAGACCTGAAGAGTATACCCGGCATCAAAAACAGGAATGACATCAGGTATCCTTATTGATTCTGGAAAGTTACTCTATAGTAGCTCTCAACAGAGAGTTACGACAGAGCTGAAGGGAGGGAACCTAATCAGAATTACAATCAAATTGAACAAATGCGTGATTCTAAGCAAGGGAATACGGCCATTGATTCCCCCAGATAAAAGGCCTAATATCATAAGAAAATACTTGTGTCTTCCATCACAATACCTGGAAAAACCTGAACCAAGAAACTGATTAGTCAGGTGAACTGTTCTACAAAATATTAAACGGTGGCAGTTTTACTATGCCTTTACTCCTTTTTTGTCAAGCTCCTGCTCTTAGCAATCTGTGGTATATAACAGGTAAGAATAACAAATGGATAAGATGAATGATAACTATATTCTTATCACTTCTATTCTACTCAGCTAGCCTTGATGCTTTTACGAAAGGAAACTCGAATTGAGCTCACAGATTGACATTGCTAGTTTTGTTGCTCTATAAAACCTAATCAGGTATCTTTGAACTGCTGTCTGGAGTAGAGTTTTCTCATTTTCACCTATTTATGCAAGAACAGGATAAGCTTGAAATTCTGTAACCTTTGAAATCAACAGAATAAATGTTCTAGCCTTCCAGGTCCTGGATAATGAGCATCTAAGGGAATTAAATTAAATTTGGGGGGTATACAACACTTGGTTTTCTGCTTCAAGTACAGAGAAATATGTACTAACTAGAGTTCTCTTTCCTTATTTAAAAGAAGTAGAATTGGGTAATGCATCTGAAAGAAGAAAAGAGGGTGGGAAGTAGCAAAAACAGCAAGAATTTTAAAGCAAATAAAATTTGGCCTACAATCTCCTCAAAAATAGTACTGCTCTTGTGTTCAGCAGTGAAATTAGATGCCATTTTGAGGAAAAAGTCACTGAAGCTAAATTGTCATATATATAATACTAGAAAAAAACTTAAATATAAATATAATCCTAAAATGAGTATTCAAATTACAGGTAATGCCTGTGTAACAACATGCAGTGAGATTTTGCAAGTAGAAGGTCTGAAGAAATACTTTATTATTTAAAAGATTTGTGACAAAATTAAAAAAAAAAAAACAACTTCCAAATTAACTCATATACTAAGAAACAGATTTACTTGTAAATTCTAAGAAAATCCTATCCATATTCGAACTCTCAAACAGCAAATGCTGGTTGTAAACAGTGTAATTTTGGGGAGTATATGATGTACTACAAATCAAACAAGTGAATTCCTGTTTTAAGTGCAAAACTATCCTTTCTGTTCTCTTTCCTTCCTGTGTTTCACTGACTGGGAATGGGTACAGGGGAAGGGTGGAAGATAATAAAACACAGATACTTAGTTGATTTACATTTAAAAAATATTATGTAATTATATCTAGACTTCACATAAAGTCTTTCATAGAACCAGGTGTTTTCATTTCCGAACAAATCCAGAAAGAAAATAAGAGCATCCGTACTGTATCTGTAAACTGCAATGCAAGCTACATTTCACTGAGAGTATCCAGGATATTTAGAGATAAAGAAATAGACATCTAGAAATTTGTTTCCATGGAACATTCCTCTCTTCAGGTTAGAAAGAAAAAACTTACTTTTATTTTAAATTAATTCTTTACTGATATCTTTACAGTATTTAATTTTCTAGTCTTCCTCGCACCCTTCATTCTCTCTTCTTTTTCAGTTATATGCAAAAAGTGTATGGGTGGTAAATTGACTCAACATAAGCACATAATTTTATTCAGAGTTAAGTTCTTTCCAATCACATTTAAACAGCCCACTCCTACTCCCACAAGCCTTCACTCTTTCCTTTCACCAGTCAGCTGTCATCTAAGGGAAATAAAATTAACAGAAAGATAGGAAAACAGGGCACACTACAGAGAGTAAAATGCTCAAGCACAAGCTGGAATTGTGCCATATCTGATATTTAGCCCACATAAAGATTTTGTTACTGGGTTGCATATGCTGTAGAATGATAAAATTCTTTTATTTTATAACCTGTGGGGTGAGGCAAGGTGGGGGTGCAGAGGAGGGAAGAATAAGAAAAAATTATTGCTGTAGTCCCCTGAATAACATGGATTAATTTAGTCACTGGAAATGTGTTTTTGATGTGTATAATCTGCACTTTACGTTTCAATTAGCAAACTTCTATGAAAAATACATGCTGTAAATGCTCCTGTACATCTGTACAGAATAAAAATATGTCAACATTCACTTTTTTATTAAGTTGAAGAAACAAGGATGAGATGAAAGGCCTTCAAAAACTGAGATGTTCAAATAATTTTAAAAGCCAGACAAGGCTTTGATTTGGACCAAATGATGGAAAGACTGGACAGTGAAAGACTGTGCTGTTTAGCTGTTACAATATTTAGTGCATCTCTGTTATCTAACAGAAGCAGTTATAGGCCATCTTAGACATTTTTACCTTAAAATTATATTTTAATATAAAATTTTGATTTGCTTACCTTCACATAACTGACATTAGATCAGAATGGATTCTTCTCACTTTACTATTGTTCAGAAATTATGTCAGTAAGCTTCAGCATAGTCTTCAGTAATATTCATTGCTGTTACATTAAGAGATTAACAAATGGTTTTGTAAAAACAGCATATTAAGGAGAAGCTTTTTCTTCAGCATTTAGATCACAACACATAAAACATACTGGAATAAATACATAAGGCATTTAGGCATCTATTTAAAGTGTGTAATTGTATTCATTCAAGTTCAGGTGCTAAGTCTCCCCATATTTGATTAGTTGTTGCAGTGATTGTTGCTGTAAATACATGTACTTAAATAATAAAAAAAAGTAAATGCCCACCTTTTTTTTTTTGTTTTAGCTTTTAAATAGAAATAGAAGTTTTACAATCCTGAAAAAACTCCAACCTCTACTCCTTTAGAAAAGTAAACTCTTGTTTTAACTAGGAACATAGACATTTGCAAGGATTTGTCAGTTTATCCATCTGTCCAGAAAAAAAATTATTTTATGTACTGACTTCTTGCATATCCCCCATTTTGGGGGAGTTATTTTTTGGGGGGTTTTGGCCTTGTTTCCTTTAGGAATAAAGGATCTAATTTTATACTTTTTACCCCTTTGGAGAATAAGGTCATTTTGCTATCTTTCTTATTATCCCTTTCTTCTGCATCAATAATTCTTCATCCAGGATTTCAGGTGAAGTTTTCCTTTTAACCACTAAATTTACAGAGGAAATATCACATCTGAATAAACAGAGCCTCTTGGGAATGCAAATAGATGCTTAGTTTCTCATTATCTCTTTATTTTCCTAGCTTGACTGATTTTGTCCATGCATGCATGGTAGTGGGAAATGAGGAAGATCTTTCAGAGCTTGTTCAACATTTCATTCAATATACAGCAACCTTAAGCACAAAATCACACTTATTTAGACTGGGATAAAAATTACTTAACCTATGGTATATATGAATCTTTAAAACATTTTCTTAGGGAGTCTGTACTGTTTGTGCATCTATCCACTTCTGGATTTCTCGTTAATAAAAATTTCCACCACATAGTAAGGCTTTCACATCATTTAGTACATTACAAATAAAAATGAAAGCTGTAAGAAAGCTTAAGGAGGTAGTTATTCCCAGAAAACCATTTTTCCATCTCTGGCAACCAGTATATAATTCTTTCAGCAAGTATTAGGTTATCTTCATTTGAAGATAAAGTTCAGAAAAAGTCTATTAAACTAATCTAAAAATGAACTTTTAGACCAAAGGCACAGGGAACTGGGGAAAGAGACCTGGCAGTGGGACCTGGAGGGGATAGTATGAACACACGTTTGATAGTATCAAAACAGCGTTTCTGAGAGAGTCAATAGATGTTAAAGCTCCCTCTCTGAAATGCTATTAAATTGTATTTCATAGAATGTCCTGAGTTGGAAGAGACCCAAAAGAGTCATTGAGTCCAACTCCTGACTCTGCACAGGACCATCCCCAAGAGTCACACCATGTGCTTGAGAGTATTGTCCAAATGCTTCTTGAATTCTGTCAGGCTTGGTGCATGACCACTCCCTTGAGGGGCCTGTTAAAGTGTCCAGCCACCCTCCGAGTGAAAAACCTTTTCCTAATATCCAACCTAAACATCTCCTCAATAGCTTCATGCCATTCCCTCAGGTCCTCTAACATAGGTCCTCTGGCCACCAGAGAGAAGACATCAGTGCCTGCCCCTGTGCTTCTGCTCATTAGGAAGCTGTAGACCACAACTGAGCCCTCAGTTTCCCCTCAGTCTCCTCTTCTACAGGTTGAGGAAATCAAGTGACCTCATCCACTCCTTGTACAGTTTGCCCTCTGGACCATTCACCGTTTCCATGACCCTCCTTTGGATGCTCTCTAATAGCTTTACATCTTTCTTATATTGTGGTACCCAAAATTGCACACAATATTCAAGGTGAGGCCACACCAGTGCAGAGAAGAGTGGGACAATCACCTCTGACCAACTGGCAATGCTGTGCCTAAAGCACCTCAGAACGCATTTGGCCATCCTAGCTGTCAGGGTGCTGCTGACTCATTCAGCTTGCCATTGACCATGAAAAGACGAGGGACTTTTAAGATATATGACATTATTCACTCTTTAATACTTCCTCTTTCTTATTACTTAACTGTTGAAGAAGACACCAGACATTTGAACCCAGATTCCTTCAGTGCAACTGGAGAAATACTTTAAATTAGAACCTAAGTCATAGTTAGGTTCTAAGAGAAAGAGGAAAAAATTTTTAAAAAATTATCATCAGAGGTGGACTTGTAGGAATATGCTATCATCTTTCAATGACCACAAAAATAGCTGAGGTTGACTACAGTCCTAATATAGACGGGGAGATTCTGAAAACGCTCTGTTTGAATCATGTATCTGAAACCAGAAAAAGCATTCTGAAGGAAAGCACTGTTTTCCTCCTTTCTGTGTCCAAAAAATGAAAGGTAGCTTTACATAAGGTCCTGCTTATAGTGACCTGATACACTCATTTGAAGTCTGAGATGCTCTTAGTCTTTGTCATCAAGAGGCTATCTGTTTCTTCATGCAGTTAGAAAACAAGATAATTGCAGGATTCCTGAGAAACAGAAACTGGGTGTAAGAATTACCAAAGCCATCTGTCATCTTCAAGCAGAAGGATGTAAGTACTTAGAAGTACTTGATCCTGCCTGTTTTCAAGGAGGTTGTGTGCATCATCATCATCAAAAAGAAAAAAAGTCAATTGCTTCTCATAAATTACATTCTATGCCAGTCAACAGTTCAAAAATGGTATTGCCTGATCCTAACAGAGAAAAATTGAGCAACAGAGCCTCTAATATTCCCAAATATCAGACAGACAGAACAAAGATACGCAGACTGTGTCTACTGAAACAAAATGTATTCACTCCTGTTGGTTCAATGGTAAAAGTGAAGGCTATGCAGGCAATACATGCAAAGAAATCAGTGGCTCAAACCCATCACTGACATCCTAATACACATCTGAAGCCCCCATAAACAGAATTGTTTATTTTGTATTGAAAACATTACACTGGTTTCAGACTTCTTTTCCTCTTTTTAGACATGATTATCAGAAATAGATAGAATCTCAATACAGCCAAAGTGACTTTAAAGCAAAATCTCAATACAGCAAAAGCAACTTCAAAGTAAAGACTTTACAAGTCAACATATAATTATGTGTCTTAAGCCACTTTTTTCCACCCAGACTTTGCATTTTGCATCTTGTCACTCAGGGTTCAGCTCCTCTTTGTACACACAGATTCTTTCATATCCTCTTAGAGGTGCTTAGGTTGTCTGCAAAAATACTCCTCTTGATAATACTATTATTGTCCTCCACATGTACATGTTTCAGAACCTGTTTCTCCCGTGTACTCACACAACCCTCAATATTTTCATTCTTGTAGAGATTTCAAGATACCTTCATAATGTGAAATAATTCTTAATTTATAGACTTTTGTGTAATCCTCCTCCCCCTTTGCTATAACATTCTCAAACTGAAATTCTCTGAAGCAACTATTGTACAAGAGTTCATAAGAGTATGGAAAAATAAATCTAAGCATAGAACACAGAATGGTTTCCTGAGAAGGAAAATACTTGACTGTTTGCCATGTAGAAATTATAGTGATGTGTAGATTTGTAGATTTATAGATTTCAGTGATGATTCTGCCTATAATGTTGTCTGGCAGAGTTTACATTGTAAAGGCAGAACAAGGAATATGTATCCCATGACAGTGTACAGATAACCAGGAAAGTATTTTTGAACTATAAAAATTCTGGGTAAATCTTGGAATGGGAAGGAATAAAAAAGTATTGCTATGATGAGAATTGAATAGTATTCTTTGATAGTTCATGCTGAAGGGACTTCAGGAGGTCCCTGGCTGAATACAGGGTCAGCTATGAGATTGGATTACTTACTCAATCTGGATATTCAGTTACAGTGCTATGCTATTTTAACAATCCCTTTGATCAAATAGGAAGTAATTCACAAATGAATCTAGTTAAAAGATGGTTTTCACCAAATGAAGTAATGGAAAAATATAATTTGTAATGTTTAATACTAGAATGACGAAATAACAATAAAATAGGCTTGTGAATAACCTGGAATAATACTGTGTATCTGAGCTATACAACTGTCAGAAACACCCCCCAAACGGTTTTGTTTTTTTTTAAATTTAGTTCTACAGAGAGTCATGTATGAGCACAATCTTATGTCTTACACAGCCATGGAGAAGTGGTTTATAATAAGTGGCTGAGTTGTCCCACTGCCTTTGTGTTTTAAAGATTGATGCTTTACTGCTTGTTTTTCTGCATGTTATCCTCTTTTTCTCTGAGGTATCAGTGCAGTTAAGAAATAAATCCATTCAGACTGAAAACCATTTACTGCATCAATAATAGGCAACTTTTCATCTATAAACAGGCAAAATATGTCATTTATTGTATTACTGTTTTGAAATGTCTTTTCTTTTTCTGACGTCTTACTACACTTCTCTGGTCAAAAATCCAAGGGTACGCCAAAAATGTTATGAAAGATTCAGATCAGAAACAAGATCAGACTGCTTTCTTTTCAGGTGTTGAGTGTCCAAACTGTATTATTTAATGTAGTTAGTGCTCTACTCTCAAAATACAACAGATCAAAATTTATCCTATGTATTTCAACATATTGGAAATAAAAGACTATTATAACAAAAGGAAATCTTGACAACAATCATATTATTTCTGTGACTGTCTCTTGGAGCTCTGTGTGCAAGATTTTGCTGACATCTGTATTGAAACCAAGTGTAACACCACTCCTCAAACATATTCATAGAATAGGATTAACCTTAATAACTTTAGACTTCTGCTGTGTTGATATCCATAAAAGTAATATCATCTAGACTCCCTTAAGAATTAAATAGTAATTTTCAGGATGTACTTAACTTAAACTTGTACTTAACATAAACTTCTACCTTAAGAGAGGAAAATATGCTGTCTGGAAAAAGTCTTGAAGTCAGGCTCATGACAAAAGCAGAAAGGTGCACATAACTGCTACATTTGGAATCTATTCACATGTGTGTGCACACACAGTCTCAAAAAAACCTAGGACA